TTACTTTCCAGGCATGCACACCTGCACCAGACACATTTGCATTTTACAATTGCACATAGTCTCGACCCAACACGGATGGGTGCCTAACACCTTCACATCTGTGACGAACCCCTGATCCCGTGACTTTGGTTTGCCATGACCACACCCGAGGAGCTCCAACGTGAAATCAGTCTCTGTTTAGGTATTGATATTGCCTCAGATGGAGGAACTTATTTTGGTTTGCCCACGCGGTAGGGAAGGTCCATGCAACAAGCCCTGAGGTTTATTGAAGAGAGGGTTAGGTTAAAAATTGATACCTGGAAGAAAAATTTAATCACACAAGCTGGGAGGGAAGTCATGATTAAAGCGGTCTTAACCGCAATCCCATCCTATGTGATGGCAGTTTTCAAACTTCCTAAGGCCATTATTGCCCGCATTAATAGCATGCTTGCCATGTTTTCTGGGCACAGGATCTGGATTCTCACAAACTGCATGGGGTCAGTTGGGCTACTTTGTCTCTCCCTAAGGGACTTGGGGGCCTAGGCTTCCACGATTTGTAAGCCTTAAACCTTTCCCTATTAGCTAGACAGCTCTGGCGCCTCCACTCCAATCAAAATTCACTATAGGCCTCCATGTTGCGTGGGAAATATTTTCACATAACTGATATTTGGAGAACCAAGTGAGGCTCCCGTGTGTCATGGCTGTGGGCCAGTATTCTTGATGCAGGAGAGCTAGTTCAATTGGGGTTGACATGGGAGGTTGGTAATGGTAGTCAAATGAAAATATGGTATGACACACGGCTGCATGACCTTGCGAAGATCCCTCATGTCATGGCAGATCCACCTCACAGCCGTGTTTGCTCTTTAATCACTGCTGATGGGCGAAACAGGAATTTGGAGGAACTTCATTGCCTCTTCCCATTACACATTCATAATGAGAATCTAAAGCTCATTCCTACGCAAAAATGGTCATGATTCACTTGTGTGGCATTTTCATGAGTCTGGACATTACATGGTCCGTTTAGGTTACAGACTCATTGTAGAGACCAGGTCTAATACAATTCAACATGCTCAATCTTTGTCTCCTCCAATTACTCATGAGGTCTGGCTTTCTATCTTCAAACTTCAGATCCTACCCAAGGTGCATATGTTTCTATGGAGAGCCATGCACAATGCTTTGGCTGTGAATGAAAATCTAGGTAGGAGAGGGGTTCATGTAGATCCTTCATGCCCAATCTGTGGGGAGGAGAATGAGACCTTGGAGCACATGCTCTTCTTTTGCCCTCATGCGCAGGCAACCTGGTTTGGCTCCACACTATCCTATAGACCATGACGTGAGGGCTTTCACAGCTTTGTCAGAGGGTAGTGCGGTCTGTTCAACTCACTGAATGGCAATTCAAAGTTTGAACTTTTGAGTGTGGCGGGTCTGATATGTTGGAATATTTGGCTAGCCCGCATCTCTTGTGTTTTTGAAAGGAAAAAACCTGTTCCTAAATTTTCCCTTGCTTCTGTTACTCAACAACGGGCTCAACTACATGACTTGGGACTTCTTTTTTCTCAATCGGTTATGACCACCTGAGGAGCCGACACCTCTAACTTCTTCATCCAGTTGGTCACCTCCAAACCATGGGATGATTAAGATCAACTGTGACGCTTCTTTCGTCTCTGCTTCTCAATCTATTGGGATGGGCATTGTGTGCAGAGATACAATGGGGAAAGTCATTGATGGACTAGCCCTGAGATGTCGGGTTCCTTCTGCAGTAGCAGCCGAGCTTATGGCCATTCGAGAATCGGTCCTACTAGCCAATGCTAGAAGATTTCCACAAGTCTGTATTGAGACCGATTTCCTCTCTGCTTTTAAGGCGTTATCGGGACGTCCAGTACCTGCTCCTCTTAAGTCCATTGTGACTGATATTCTCTGTTGTATTTCCTTACAGAATTTTCATTTCTCTCATTGTAGATGAACAGCAAATTAGGTGGCAGACTGGGTGTCCAAAGCGGTGAGGCAATGTCATTATCCTCCGCATTGGGATTATGCACCACCGCAACCCCTTGTTGCTCTTTTGTCCCATGATATTTTGAATGAATGATATATTACCCTTTCTGATTAAAAAAGAAACAGATCGAGTTTGTTGACTAGGTAACCAGAATTGAGGCATGAATTGTACTTGCACATATAGCAATTCAAACCCCAACACGGCCCTGTCAGCGGATCAAAGAGCGGGTAAATTGTACAGGCCATAATCCTATATCAACTGCAATAAAACGAGGACTAAAAACAGCAACAAACAGAGTATAGAGGAACATGATAACCACGCTACAATGCGATACATATTTGGAGGGTGCATGAATGCGGCGAGAGTCACATCGTCTATAGTAGTAGGTTGGTCCTCTCTAAGCGCACATTAAAATCTCGCCAGAGACCATATTAAGCCTGACATGAAAACTTGCTCTTGAGTCTGCATCATCGCCGGTATCAGTTAAGACAATAAACTACACCATGGTCACCCTGGACTTTTAACTTTTTCCAAAAGGTGGAAGTGCTGCATGTAGCCTTAGAGGCACAAAAGTTCAAAGTAATTCCCCACTGGCCAAGAAGACAATAAACTACACTATGGTCACCCTGGACTTTTAACTTTTTCCAAAAGGTGGAAGTACTGCATGTAGCCTTAGAGGCACAAAATTTCAAAGCAATTCCCCACTGGCCCAAGAGGATGATTGCTTCTCGCTTACCAAGCGGCAAAAAAGTCGGGGTACTCCTCCTCCTCACACAAGAAATACCCGATTGTTGGCGCAGTCCAATTACTCAGGTTGAGTGGACTCTATCGTATGAGCCCCGTTTGCAATCGACTGCGACAACCCCTTTAGATTGCGCTGTTCTCGCGTCTCTTCTGACATGTCAAATGCTTGAAGCAGATCTATGGAGGATAGCTGGTAAGGGATAGCCTTCATTGCCATGGGCTAACATCTTGGTTTCGCTGCAGTGGTGTTAATGGGTGAGGAATCGATCATCCATCTCTTCCACGAGCTTCGCCATGGTGTTCATAAGGCCGCCTCACGTATTGGGCAAGTCAGCTGGTCGTCGTCCACTTTGCGCTTTTTGGCACTTCTTGCGAAATTGCTGGTGGGATTAGGTTGTGGAGCGCTAACAGTCTCCTCCTCAACCCTAGGTTCCAGTATTGGTGCTTCCCTCTTGTCTTCCTGCTTGTCCTCCTCCTCTAGAGTTCTATGTTTTTACCTGGATAGTGTTCGCACAAATTTTCTTCGCTCTCACCCAAGGTCCAAAGCTTTCAACCTCTGGTTTCTCAATCCCCTTGTCTGCTTTCTTAGGTTTAGGGCATCGGTTGGTAGGATGAGAGAGCATGTCACATCTGCAACAAAACTTGTTAATTTTCTAAAGAAGAAAGATCAAAGAGAGTTTCCTGATAGACAGGAAACTAAGAGCCAAAGGACATCGAAAGAAACCAAAAGATATATCACTGAAAAGATCTCCAAAGGATTTCCAACTATTCAGGGCAAGTAAAATACACATAGAATCCTAGTATTTATAGACCACTCCTATGTTTCTAATTAGTACATGTTGCACTTCTCACCACCGCTAAATAACTTTCTACTTAATTCTCATATGAGATTTCTCTAGACAGTTCCTAAAATATATCCTTACAAGAACTCTGGAATTACACTACAACTTTCTACATCTTTCTAGATTCTTCTTCAATACAATAGGATCAATTTTAACACTCTCCCTTGATCCTATTGCTTAGACATCCAATTAACTTAGGAATCTACTGTGCATCAGCCATCTCCTTCAATCATCGTTCCTTGTAAGTCTGCAACCAAAATATTCTTCTGCAACATCATCTTGCATAGTTTCTTCTGCACACCTCATTCCCTCATTCAAATCGCAAGCAATTCCTGAAAAACAAACTCATAAAGCTTCCTGTAACACCTGATAATTGACAGCAATAAGGAACACCACAAAGTTGTCTGGAAAGCCAAAGAAACCGAGGCTTAAAGAGATTGAGTTGATCCCAAAGACTTTGGAAGACTTTTACTAACAAAAAACTACCAAAACATACTAAAAGCTCAAAGGTTATCAAGCCCGTAAGAAACATAGAGCTCCGCCACCATGTTAATTTTTTATAGAAGAAAGATCAAAGAGAGTTTCCTGATAGACAGGAAATTAAGAGCCGAAAGACATCGAAAGAAACCAAAAAAAATATCACTAAAAAGATGTCCAAAGGATTTCCCAAGATAGAGTTTCCAAAAGATTTCCAAAAGATGTGGCAACCGAATAGAATTCGGTGCAAGTAGATTACACATAGAATCCTAGTATGTATAGACCACTCCAATGTTTCTAATTAGTACACATTGCACTTCTCACCACTGCTAAATAACTTTCTACATAATTTTCATATGAGATTTTCTCTAGATAGTTCCTAAAATATATCCTTACAAGAACTCTGGAATTGCACTACAACTTTCTACATCTTTCTAGATTCTTCTTCAATACAATACGATCAATTCCAACAAAACTCTCCCAGTCGCTCATACTGAAACTTGAGCCAGAATTCATGCCCATTTGGGTTCCGGCATGCCACCTCCATCCCGATATCAATGGGCGGTCTGTTTCTATTTCAACCTTGGCCCTAATAAACCGTTGCTAGCCGAGTATAGACTCAAGGGTGGATTCATATTACCGAAAAGCATATTAGTGAAGGGAGAAGATTTTCTCTCTCATGGCATTTTCTGTCTCCAAAAATACACTACTTTTTTTGTCAAAGGTAAAAAAAAGGCATCAGTGGGTGGTGTCATCATCGCCCTGTCAGTCCAGGCGTCGGTCAATACCGGTTACATCCTGGCATTAGATCCTCCTCATAGGAGAGACCGCCTACCGGGGCAGCAACAGACACCCTCGCCTGCTATGCGTCATAGTGTCGGGGATACCGCGAGCTCAACGGCCACCACCCCACAGTGTGGAAGGCCGTATTCGGCCACATCACCACTATTATGGGGCTTGACTGGAAGCGTCGGGACTCAAACCCGAGTCCTAGAGATGGCAGGCTAATGGCTTCACCACTTGTCCACCACCCCCGCTGGTAAGATCTCTTATTTCTCTATATAGAAATAGAGAAATGATAGGAAGGAACTTACACCCTTAAAAATAATAAAAATACTAATTGATAGCTAATTTATTATTCCCCAATAAAACAACTTATATTTCTTAAAAATAACGATTATGTTATAAATAAATTATGTGAATGTCACCGCTACCATCCAGTCAAATTCATTTTTATCATGCCTGAATTTATCTCCGGTAAATGTTTTACCCTTATACCTAATTTCTACTTGGATTCATCTCTTTGGCTAATTACCCTCCATAATTCTATTTGTCCTAATCATGATATCATCTTTCTTTACCTAACATCCATAAGATTTTATCTTTTTAAATTATTCATACTTATTTATTTTTATCCCCTCATTTCCAACTACAAATACCCCCTCCATTCCTTCATATTGATAAACTAACATCCCACCATAAACTTCACCTCTCTTCTCAAACTCTTCCCCAATCTTAGTTTAATTATTATCTCTTATCAATATTACTATCAAAGTTGTATTGTCATCATCAAGGTTGTATTAATACATTCAAGCTTGCAACATTATCATCAAAGAGTGAATTATTTTAAAACTTTTCTTATTACTACTTTCTTGCTTTCTATATATACATATATAGTAGTAATATTGCTGAAAGATTTATCGAGTAAGCATATATATATATATTATATATCCTATATTATTATTCTACTAATATTGCTGAAAGATTTATCGAATAAGCGTATATATATATTACATATTATATATTATTATTCTACTTATACTGCTAAATTGGATCCTCTGTCGGTTCTCTTTTTTTTCTCTCTCTCTAGGATTTTCTCTTTTCTCTCCTTCTCTTAGAGAAAACCCTAGATTTACTACTTGGGGTTGCCGCCGACATTCTTCCGGTGGTGAGCCCCCACCAAAATTTCTTTCAACTAGCTAGTTTTTTCTTTTTCGTTTTTAGTTTCGTTGGTTTACTCCCACTTTTGTGGGTTTAGTCTCACTTTTTGTGAGTTAGTTTCTCTCCTTCTAGAGTTTTCTCACCTTTTCTTGTGTTTCAAATAAGACTATGGGAGCCAAAAGTCATGGAGGAAGATTCGATTTGAAGAACGATTCTCTATCTACTACAGAAATATACCAACAAAGGGATATTTTCCCCCACAGGTATGTCTCAAATTTACCTGTTAGCATGGTGGTTGCTGCACAGACCATACTGATCTAATGCTCGCGAGAGTAGTGTGCCTTTGTAAATCCTCTATTGAAGGAGATAAATCACATTGTGTATTTTTATGTAGTAGGTTAAGAAGAATTCTTATGCTGAATTTTTCTTATGCTTTCGCTATATTAGATCTTCAACTATTTAATTTCAGATCTTTAGTTCTATTTATATGAATAATGAATGCTCTTCTTCTAAAAAAAAAAAATTCTACTTATACTGCTATTAGCACTAAAATTTTGACCTCAAAGTCAATGGCGGATAGTGATTGTAGGCAAATGACTACACTGGATCTTCCAAATCTTCAAAGATTATTTTTACTTTTCAAAAAAATTCTATTCTTTATAGCTATTTTTTCTCTTGTATTTTCCTTTAGATAATCTCCATTTCTTTCCTAATCTTTTAAAAATCGTTAACTATTCACTAGATTTTTTCATTAATTTTCTATCAATTAATATTGCCATTTTCTTCCATTTATATAGGTTTTAATGTTAGTGTAATATGCCCAAAAGCCAATCATGGATGACTATTTGTAGTCACGTATACACATTAAGGTTATTCCAATAAGTATCGTTTTTTAGATAAATGCTTGCACATATTTATAACCCTAGAATATTTCATATTATTAAATCAGGGATCAGCTAATAATAATGCCTACCCAACATTATTATTTAATTCTGATCGCATACAACTCTTAACGTATACACTATACTTAAGATGTATGCCCATGTTCAACCTCTTGAACACCTGACCTGGCTGGGTGTATTCTTGGGATGTACCTTGCAATATACATACAGTAATCACCAAGAATATCTACATAACAGCTCCGATCTGAGATCGTCAAGGTATCCAACATATGAATCACGTGCTTTGATATTATTCCTAGTCACCCGTAACTGGGTGGACATAAGGGTAATCATTGGGTATATGACGAGTATGTAGTGGGTTTTGATTGATCAAGAGGGGATTCGTCCGACCCATATAACGGGTATATTATCGGATGGCTTCTTGATAGAGTTAAACTGTTAAATGCATGGCCATGCTCGGATTAGGTGATATGGTGATATCATGGGTATCCGTTTTATACAGTTAACTCGGGGATCAAGAAACATAGATTAAACATATACGAGATTGACATATTCCATGTCTCGTGTTTGATCTTGATAATGGGACGATAGGACGATGACATATTCTGAGGCATAGAGAATCAGTACTGATCTTGTCGTTCGGGTAGCAATGATGTGTTGCTAGACGCCGCTCTTTGCTTATAATTGTAAAATGAGGTTTTACAATTATTTCCGGACGTTACAAATCCCTACAGGGTCACACACATAGAACCGTTGATTCGAGCAGATGGTTTAACCGTGGTTGGACCATGGTTGGACCGGGTGTGGTTGGACCGTGGTTGGACCAGGGCCGTTTCTAGATCAATAATTAATTGAATCATTGACCAGACATGAGTGTTATGGTGGTGTGTTATCTGCTTGTCCATTAGTGGAGACAAGGTAATGATGGTCATTACCTTTGGGGCCTAGTGTTGGCCACTAAGGCTCATCACTAATGCATTATGGAGTGTGTGGGTTTTTGGGTGTGTGATCAGATCATACTCTCCTTCTCCCTTTTCTCCTTGAACATTTTTACAGACCCAAAAACACACCCCTTCCACCTTCTTCATTCTTTGTGAAAGAAAGAAGATAACCATACACACAAACACCACAAGGTTGTTGCTTCCGGTTTACTCTTGCTAGCACATCAGTCCGGGAGTGCTCGAGGTTTGATTCGTAGGACGATTTCAAGCCAATCACGGTTCTTGTGGATACCGTAGAGGAGCCAGGGCATTGTCTTGCTCTTGCTGATTCCGTCCAGCATTTAGGTGAAAGATCCTAATACTACAGATACGAAAATTTTGTTATACGGTTTATGCATGCTTCACTTGGTTCTTGGTTAAGTTTCCTTGTTTCCGCTGCATATTCTACTTGTTGTGCATATTATGAATGTCATAATAGCTCTAGGGAAACTTACAGTGGTAGCGGAGCCTCTTGTGAAGCTCTAAACCGGATTTATGTGCATATGTTGATATGCTCATGCATATATATATATATGATATGTTATATGTGATGTAGCATGATCATTATATGTTGTTTTCAATTATGTATATGTGATGTCCATGTTGATGTTGGTGTTTGTCAAAAGAGTTTTGACAAAGAGAACTTGATTGGTATGTGATATCAATCAAGGTGTTCATGGCAGTAAGTCGAAGGGTGCGACTAGAAAAAACCGAGTGTCGGTTTGTGTATAGAACGATTGTCGTTCTAGTACAGCAAGGCCATAACATCGATGTTGGTGAGACCAACATCGATGTTGGCATGATGTTTAGCCTTGGCCGAACCTTCATAACATCAATGTTGTGTGACCAACGTTGATGTTCTGATGAAGGTTGGTCTTGGCCGAACGTTCATAACATCGATGTTGTGTGACCAACATCGATGTTGTGTGACCAACATCGATGTTCTCATGCAAAATTCTCAAAACATCGATGTTTAAGAGTTAAACATCGATGTTATTTGAGCTCGGCCAAATTGGTTTGAGTTCTAGAGCTCCAACAACATCGATGTGTGAGTGTCAACATCGATGTTCTTGACTTCCAGAACCCAAACATCGATGTTTAAATGTTAAACATCGATGTTATAATGCTACTGCCAAGATATTGAACTTTCAAGTACTCAAAACATCGATGTTTAAGTGTTCAACATCGATGTTCTTGAGCTACTGCCAAATGGTGGAGTTCAAGTACTCAAAACATCGATGTTTAAGTGTTCAACATCGATGTTCTATGCATTCGGCAACCTCCAACATCGATGTTGGAGTGTCAACATCGATGTTTTGCAGATTCACAAACTCCAAACATCGATGTTGAAGGGTTCAACATCGATGTTGTGGAACCCAGTAAATTCAACTGCGAATTCGGGGCAGAAGGAGGCCGAATTGGTGTCTAGCCTGAACAACAAAGTTGTAGCCCTACTTCTTGGCTTTCCAAGGACACCAAGTTTGCACAAATCCAAGCTCTACAGCTCTGGATATGGCCGAAATACTAAGTGCTGCCAAGTTGTTGGGAGAATCAGAATCTCAAAACATCGATGTTCACGTTAGACATCAACATTCACATGTATTTGGTTTCCAAACTTACATGACATCAATGTATGATTTATCAAGAACAAGCATTTGATGTGCTGGAATTATATGTTGATGAAAAATATTAAGTTCTTAGTTGCCTTCCATGATAAGCACTCATCAAGCTTAAGATCAACAATTGGTAGTTCTCTGCCAAAGCAAGGTGCCATTGTTTATCCTAAGAAGGTGCGAGTGGATAATTGTAATATCTCGATTGCTTATTGTGGGTGTGGACTTAACTAGGTTATCTTAATAGGATTAAGGTCCTAGGGGCAAGGGTTGAGAAATGTCTATAAGATAGACTTGGACAAGGTGTTGTTCACTCAACTATCCTAGAGTTGCATAAAGATGTAATTGACAAGAGTTGTCTACCGAAATAGCTATGATATAAGTTTATCAGCCAAAGCTGACTTATGTTGTAGTGAAATATGGATCTTGGCCTACTTATATAATTGTCTTGATTTATGTAGTAGGAGCACATTTAATAGAATTCCTTATTAAATGATTTGTATGCATGACTATTATTTGTGTGAGTTGATCATTGTTGTAGAATTATCATGGCACAAAACACTAGCACTTATTATTGCAATTGGTCCTTGAGTAGGACG